CGAAGGGAAAGCCATCGCGGCCTGATCCACAAAGCAGCAGTAGCAGCCTTCAGAAGACTACAGCGATTCCCAGCTTTGGAAGGTACCAGAGAACTAAGCCCTTGAAACACCGACTACTCCCGCAAGGGGAGGAAGGCACAGGCCAGGAGGGGTCACTCACTTCAGTGAAGCAGTTATCCCGAGCAGAGATGCCCAGACGTCTTTCTAGTACCACTTGGATTGCGAGCTCTCCTCCGCATGCAGACTTGCCTGAGCTCTCAGCTCAGTCGCAGAGCACAGCACTTACCTACGAACAGCCAACCACTTCCTCCCCCCACTTTTTAAAAAAGAAAAATACCCAAGTGGGTAAAAGTTAATGGGATTTCTTTGGTTACCTGAAGAATGCAAGAGGCAGCAGCCTGATGTACTGGTCAGAGGTTGCACGGCGTAGAACATGATAGGGGCCATGGCCTGTAATTTCCAAAGCAAGAGTGGGTAAAATGATCATGATCACGGAGCCCATTTGATTACTTCGCAGCAGTGCGGACGGTGGGCCCCGTCCCTTTCAGCCAGCAGAGACTATTTATACGCTGAGTCTGGGTCAGGGCACTGCTGGGGAAGAGGCTTGCAGGACTGTTATCACACAGCACTCATGCTAGGCGAGTTACTGCCAACGCCTGCAGGTTGAAAGCTATTTCTCAGCTTCCTCAAAAAAAAAAAGTCAATGTGCCAGGTTCAGTGAGGATCTGGCAGGCCTTGGCTGAGCTCCTGCCAATACCTCCAGCAGCTGACAGCTCCCCACATGATACCAGACACCTTCAGTCAGGAAAAGCTTCCTTGAGAAGTGTCATTTTTGGGGTCGATTACAAGGCAGGCAGCGTAGATTTGCACCTCATAGACTAAACAAAGGAGATTATGCATGTATTTTACATAGATGATATTAACACAAGCTTTTGTGAGCTGCAGCCCACTTCATCAGATGGTGGGCAAGGAAAGCAGAGTATAAGGAGAAATAAATTACAATAAAAAATGACAAGGGAAGGAGAGAGCGATTAAGGGGAAGAGCGGGGAGGGGGCCGTGCTGGGAGAGGGAAGTACACGTTAAACCTACGGGAACAACCAGAGTTGCCAAAGCTAACCCAGGTAATGGGATAAGAATCCGTGATCTGTTTAAACTGCACTTAATGCCTCTGGTCTGTGAGTACAGGGGCCCAGGGGCCCCTGGAGACAATATCTCCACCAGCTTGAGGGGAGAATCCTTTTGCTGGGCATTCACAGGGAGGCTTCTGCTCACCTCTGTCTACAGCGTGGAAGAGAACCAGCCAGGACATGCCCAGCTCTTCCAGGTGGCGCAGGATCTCCAGGCACCATTCCAAAGCCTCACGAGCATCCACCTCTTCCTGGGTAAGTGAGAAGGACAGGAGCGCCTTACCCTGTGGGCTGGTACACATCAAACCAAAGGGGCACGCCGAGATAGGGTAGCTCTAACGTGCTCAGCAGGCCAATGGAGCCTTCTCCTCAACCTCCTTCAGGACAAGGCTTCCTAACAGGGAGTCCAATGCATCGGTGCTAGCACAGGAGTCTCCGGGTCTCCCCAGGGACACTGCTGCCCCTCCAGAGCACACCCAAGCTGTGCTCCATGCACAAGCTCAGCTATTCCCTCCGCTTCTCTGAGCCATTTCTCCAGCTGTACAGGGGGCAGACACCAGCACTGAGCTTGCAGGGGAGTTGGGCATCAGTGAACATTCAAGCATGGTAACAAGCTGATGGAGAACAGGTTTAGGTTAGAGATCAGAAGGCAATATTTTACAGTTAGGGTGGCCAAAATCTGGAACCAACTTCCCAGGGAAATGGTCCTCGCCCCTACCTTGGGCAAATTCAAGAGGAGGTTGGACGATCACCTGTCTGGGGTCTTGTGAGCCCAGCATTCATTCCTGCCTGTGGCAGGGGGTCAGGCTAGATGATCTGCTCAAGTCCCTCCTGACCCTAGCTACTATGAAACAGCATTCAACTTTCGTCCTTTTGGTCCATACCTTGGGGTCTCCTTTGTTTGGGATGGCAGCATTAGACAAACAGCTTCCTTTAAAAAGCCCTGAGCTCTGTTTGACACTAATCCACCCACAATGCTTCCTAGTCACTGCCGTCTGCGCTGGGTGATCGTTAGGGACTCCCCCTCGTAAAGTACCAGGCCTAGCTCCTGCAGTAACTATAAAGGATGCTCTGCACTGCACTGAATGAGGCATCAGACTGACTGCACAGGAGGGTTTGGAAGGAGGGAGTCACCAGAGACACCTAAGAAAAGCTGTCGTGGTGGGAGAGGAGGAGGATTGCTAACCAGAGGAAGGCAGTTGTGCTAGCCAGTCCTGCTCAGCCTGGGATGTTCCCTTCCCCTGGCCTCTGGCAAGACAAGCCAGTGCACCTGAGCGCGCTGATGGAACCTGCTTTTAAGTGCGGGCCTGTACAACCTAGCGTGAATCCTGTGGGGGGTGGATTTACCTGTGGTGCTAATCTTGTCGAGATCACGTCCAGGAGCGAGAAGAAGAGCAGAGACACCAGGAGCTGCAAGTGAGAAAAGCTGCTCATTATTTACACATTGACTTGACACTTGTATGTGCCGTCCATAAAATAAGCCTTCCCCAAGCCAGCACATCCTGGAGATTTACTGCTCTTCTGCATGCAGTGCCATGCTCTTCAACAGCCTAGCATAAAAAAGATCCACATGGCAGTGCCCCAAGAGGCAACAGCTTCCCCACCACTGGTGAAGAAGGTGAGCCTGGGAAGCAGTGACTAGAAGCACCAAGCAACACAGGCCATGTCTTCTCAAGGCAAAACTTCCACCCTAATCACATAATCGGTAACTGCAGAAACCAGCCTCGCCGGAGGTCAGCAGTCAGAAGGGACCAACACTGAGACCTGGCCCAGGTCCACAGATACCCAAATAAATTGGAGAGCTCACCAGACTGGTGCTTATCTTACAAAGAGCTAGCATAAGGAACTGGAGAAGAGAGAGTGCTTTGGAAAAACCCAGGGAACTTCTTTCCTGGAGTCTACCAAACCGCTGCCCTAGTCAAAGCCCTCCCAGGACTCCACCATTCCAGGCCAGCACGTACACCTCAGCCTACAGCTCCCTGCTGCAGCTGGGAGCCAACTTCGAGAGTTCACTGGTGGTGCTCTCTACCAGCGGTGTTTCCAGGGGAAGAAAAGGGCAAAGGGCTCCCCATGTCCAGCCTTGCCTGCTCTGCGCTGGAGCCCAGCCTTCTCAGGACCTCGCTTCTTCCTTCATGGGCCACTTGCTGCTGAATAGCGAAATGCAGAAACGCAGCTGAAATCCAGGGGGCATCCGGAAGGGAGAATGGTGCTTCCGAGGAGAGGAAGCTAAGAAATGACAACAGAGCACAACAGTTCAGGAGAAAGGCACCCATGGGTGCATGCGGGAAGAGGGGGAAGTCAGGACCTTGGGTCAAAGGCCTGATGGAGGAAGGGAGGAGATGATGGTTCAGTGCCCGGGAGAGCCTTTGGCAGTTCTCTAGACCATCTGACCAAGGGATCATGGCAATGCCAAACCCATTTGCCCAGAGCTCAGGTGCAGGCATGTTTTAATCATAAGATTGAGGCTGAGAAGCTGTTCTCCTTCCTGCTGCAGCCTCACACTCACCTGGTCGCAGAACACCGGCACTCCTTCAGCCGCTGCATTTCTTGTGGAAGGCGAGCCCCAGACAGCCTGGTCCACTGGCAGCAAAGCACTGGCTCCAGCCTCGGCCACCACCGCTGCAAGAAGCCCAGAAACCAGCAAAGTTAGCAATGGTAGAAATCAGGGGCAGCAAAGTGAGGCTAGGGCAGCTCTGCTGGGGAGTGTGCGAGTGCGCGTGGATCACCACCATCTCATATTTGTTAACGAGGAAGGCATTAGCCACATGTTCCTGCCTCTTTCAATTAAAGTGATTCTGAAAAGGGACCCGTCTTCTCAGGCTGTACAGGCTCCTTGCTGCCAAATGCGGTGCAAGTGGGTTCAAAATCAGTTGTTCCCAAGGTGCCTCTTGCTCTGAAGCTGGGGTTAAGACTTTGCACTTCTGGTTTGGGTGTTTTAGGCAACTGACCAAATCCCAGGTAACAATACTCTGGGAGCCCTTTTCACAGAAGGATCGGCCTCCATTCGTGCTTAACACTGACCTGGAAAGAAAGTCTAACAGAGATCGCTTACCCCCGCAGAGCAAAGGAGAAGGGGACACTTGGTTCGACACGCGGCCAGCACATCGTTAACCCCCTGTGCCGACTCCTCACAATCCAAACTGGCACTCAGCAGCCCCTGAAGGAGGACAAGTGCAACATGCCTGAATAGCAACATGCCCCTCTGATGCATTTCACACTCATAAAAAGCAGCCGTAGGGAATGGCATTGTCAGGAAGAGAAACCACACACACACAACCCAACTTCCCCCATGAAGATCCAATTAGATTATTAGGCTGTTTGGGCTGGAAGTCATACAGTATGTTCTACTGATCCAATGCAATGTTTGTGCCTATTAGTGTTTTTCCACATACATACGAGTTTTTGGACTGTGTTGAGGTCAAGTTCTTGCCTTGGTTTCTCAAAACCACTGTAGAAAGCATATTTCACTCCTAATAACACACTCCTATTGCATGGGTCACAATTACAAGGAAACAATTTCAGTCTCTGCATACTATGGAAAACGGAATACAAGGGAGAATCTAGCACTTACCCTGAAGAAATGTGCAGTAATGTCATAGGAGAGCGCACACCCCCTGGAGCAGACGTTCCTCTAACAAAAAGAAAAGCAGACAAGAGTTCACTCAGTGGTGGGTCACTGGAAGTACAGGATCTCTTCTTTTCCAACTGCATTCCTCCTCGAGCATACAGGTATGCAATCCCCTCCCAGCCTCCTGCTCCTACATTTTTAAGGTTTTTTTCTCCACACGCAATTACCAACAACGCTACTGTTGTGTGGGATGTTGCACGTACCAGCTCCGAGTTGACAAAATGAAAGAAACCTTCACAATCCAAGGTCACTCTCTTTCCTCTTTGGCACGTTGTAATAAGGACGGGTGGAGGGAGACCCAGAAGAATCCTAAAGCAAAGTTTAAAAATTAATCCTCAGTCCAGAGGAGGATAGAAAACGCAGCAATGCTCAGGTCATGGTGCATACAGCTTTGGTTTTCACAGAGTTGAGAGTCCTTGTCTGGACTCTTAAATATCTGCTGCTGAGACACTTAAGGGTTACTCACCAGGGATTTTTCTGCTTGCCCAGAAGAGGACCCCCTAAATCAGAGCTTTCCAAACTGTGTGCCGCGACACATTAGTGTGTTGGCGGCAGTGTGTAGGTGTGTCGTGCGAAATGCAGAAAATTTTGCGGAAGGGCACCGCGGAGCTCCCTTACTCGCGTCTGCTTCCCTTGGCCCTTCCCCCGGAACTGAATTACTGTGTCGCGAAATGATGCATGTCTAAAAAGTGTGTCACCAACATGAAAAGTTTGGAAAGCTCTGCCCTAAATAGTGTCCTGGGAAAGGATAACATGCTCCTCATTGCAGCATGTAAACATGGGCAGGGAGACAGGGTGCTGGCAGCTGGAAAGAGGGTCAGGGAGGAGAGGGAGGTCCTTGGAGCTCTACCTACTGCAGGATATTTTGCAGGGTTCAGTTCCTTGCCCCTCGCTATGGAGATGAGGGTCTATGAAGTAACCAGGGGGGTTGAGCCACAGCAAACAGCTACCAGGCACCCCTGAGGTGCACCAGCTGTTTGCATGAGTGTATTGCAAATGGAACCATTTTACTGGTCTGCTACACAGGACCACTGAGGAGCTCCAGCTGAGTGGAGAAGTGGTGCCCCTTCGGGTAAGAACCAGAGAAAACAGTCTGTCTCGAGGGTGGCATCTTACTGCAAATGAAGCAGGATCGCCCACCAGGGTAGGGCAGTGTTCAGCAAGAGCTAAATACCTGGAGTAGGGAATGGACCTGGGCCTCCCACACAAGGTTAGGTACAGTAGTTTCCAGCGCAGTGCGATGTTATGCTCCTTCCCTCATCATCACTCCTTCCCCACCAAGGGAGAGCAGAGGTACCAATAGCTCACTGCACCTGTGCACAGCCAAACTGGGTTTCTGACACTGGCCTGCATTTTAGAGGCTCTGGGCTCCAGTGGGTATTTACCTTTTTTGCAGTAGCAGCTCCTGCTGTCTCCGTAACTGCTGACCCACAGCAGAGCCGTTTCCTAAACCTGCTAATCTGGCCTGGAACACCCTGAACAGGAAGTGTTCCCTGCCCCGCAAGCGGCCTGCAGACAAAGCCTTCCTGTCCCCCAGCTCAAGTACCATTTCCTGGGAGGAAGAAAGCAATCCAGTCAGAACTTTCCTCCTGTCTGCATTTCAAATCCTCTGGGACTCTGGGTACCAGCAACTAAGGTGATTTTAAGACTTCAGCTGTTGCACACCCGCCAGGAAATCTCAACTCTTCCATCAGTAACCCCTGCAGCAAGTCAGCTAATTTCCTGAACCTTGCACCTGTTCCGTTACTCTTTTGAGCTTCTTTTTATTTCTTTATATTGCAATTCTATAAAGTACTAAAGGGCTTGCAAAATCTGCACTGTAGTTTGACAACCTGGCTTCAGAAGCATCTGGTTTTAGTGCTCACTCACAGCCTGCAGTAATTATGTGCCTACTACACACACAGATTACACTTCACTTTCCAAAGGGGAGACTTCAAGGAGGCTGATATGCACTCCCTTTTGTTTGCACTGCTGAGTGAGACAGCTAGCAAGAATGATGAGGGTGAAAATGAATGGCTTTGTTTTCAGGAGTAGAACGGATTTGCACCTTTAAGTGCCAGCTGGCTGCAGGTAGAGCCAGCTTGATTGCTAATTAGAACCAATTTGGAAGAAGGGCCTGTGAGCTAAAATGTCTGGCAGAACTTATTGTGTCTTTGCAAGCTGGAGACTGTTCCTACCTTGGGAAACTCCCAGCTTCAGAAACCAGCATGTATATGTACTAACAAAAACATGGGGAGTGGAGGGGGCTGCCAACGGCGGTCTTTGTAAGACAAGACAAATCCATGCACGTCACTGCATTTTGCACGTAGTGCAAACTCTCCTCACGAGGCTGGGATTCACGTGGGCAGAACCTGAGCCTCCCACAGCTAACCACAGGGCAGCCTCGATTGCTTTGGCACCTTAAGGGAATGTAAATTAACACACTACATTTGAGTGGGTTTTCATTCCAATCCATCTTTAGGTTTTCACCATATACAGCACAATATCCAAGTCCTATTTTACCGATACAGAATTATTAGAGGTTTGTCATGCCAGGGTCATGGATCTGAAATGGGGATTTGCATTGTGATCTGAAATCACCTGTAATTTGCTGAGAATATCAGGATTGACTGTGCTACTGTGAGTGAAAAACTCCGACGTCTTCAATGGGCCACAGCTGTCCAACTCTGACCTGGAATTAAGAGAGACTCCTGATGACTACCCAGAACCTGCCAGGTTCAGAAGAGGCCTGAAGACATATGTACAAGCAGGACCTACATGGAGTACAGAGTGGGGTTCACTGGGGGGCAGACAAGGGGAGGGAGTGGGGTGGCAGGTGTTATCTCTGGTATTCAACCAGAAAGGTTTTCCACAGCAGGCTTGGAGATTTCCATCACAGCCACAGTCATGGTAGAGAATTATACTGGTGGTTACAGAAATGTCCGCAAACACCCCCATTTAGAACTTCAAGATATAACACACCCTTTATTCAAACCTAGGCTGTTCAAAATGTCCAGCTAATCGAGTGGATTGCCTGGACATCTTTAAGCGTTAACTGTGAAATGGGCCTCTCAGAGGTTTTTATACAATTAGATTTTTAAAGCTATGTCAGTTATGCTGGAGACGCAGGCTAACAGAGTGCTGCCGGCCAGCACACATTCTGTTCCTTTTGCAATGTACAAACAAGCAGCCAGCGACTGCCCGAGGAAGCTACTTTCTGAGGGAATCAAATGCTGTATGCAGATGAAGTAAGTCAAACAACTTTTGCTGACGCACATGTACAACGTGCCCATTACAAAGGAGCAAGTGACAGACAGCGCTTAACGCTGGGTCATGGAGACCCCTCGGGAAGTCTGGAGCGTCTCTCTACACGTACAAACCCTCACACACAAACTTCTAACTGTGCTGCAGGTTCAGAGAGAAACACTGCCCCGACCACTATGTTTTTCAGACCCCCGGTAAAACTGTTGCTTCTGCGCTCGTGCGAATCACAGGAGATAAATACCTTTGGAAGAAGTCCAGAAATGCATCAATTAGAATGCCACATGCCTCTTCCAGGTCCCCATCACAGCCTCCGGAAGCAGAGGATGCGGGGAGATACCACTCGTACAAAGCCCAGTAGTGGAAGTCCTGCCTGCAATATGGAACAACGAAAGATTGGTTTCCTCTTCAGCTCCTCATGCTTTCTCTCCATTGTTTTAAAAAGAACACAATGCCCCTAACGTCATGCAGAACAGCAGAAATACACTGTCAAACAGACTGGCACATATAAGAAATCAACATGAAACTACGAACACTGGTTGTACCAAAGGAAGGAAGGAAGGAGAGGGGCAGACAGCATGCATTTACATTGTCCTAGTCCTCATGGACCTTCTGAAACTAAGGTGGTAAAGATTGTGAACTACCTCCATTGTAACACTGCTCTTACCTTTCAGAAGCAGAAAGGATATCTGTTTCAGGCTGGATCTCAAGCTCAAACAGCAGCCACTCTCTGAAAGATAACTGAGGTAGAGCAGAGGTTCAGCACACCTTAAGGGCAGAACAAAGCCACGGGGCTTCTCCAGCCTGACTGCCCAATGCAGCTGAGCCCTCTGGGACATCCAGCTCACTCCCACCACCCCAGTACAATCCCAGTGCACAGCGTTTACAACAGAGCAGGAGGCTGCAGGCAGTTCTGAATCCCTGCTCAGGAATAAGAACAATTTTTGTCCCCATAATATCCTCCTGGTAAGAAACACAAGTCAAGTGAAACACCAAAGGCTACTGAAAGCAAGTCTACAAATCACCACGTCTCTCTATCTAACATCCATATTTAAGATCTAGACACCAGCTTGGAGCATATGGCACTTTACACAAATTATAACATAAAGAGAAAACTAGAATAATATGAAGTGCTAGCAATAAAGCAGTCACATATTTCACTCCATATGTGCTTTACAGGCCTGCCCAATTTTTCTAGTAGTGTATATGAAATAAATCTGTAAAACCTTTGTAGCACTACATGCCAGGACTCCTCTACACAAGACAAATTTCTTAATGAAAAACCAGACAAAGAAACAACCGCCACATAAGACACATCCTCAAGTTAATGTAAAATGAGCATGTCTATAACATTTATGAATGTGCTTTGTATCAATATAGGACTCATTAATCCACCTGCAGGGTGCTGTAGGAGGCTTTGTGACTATAAGCAGAGCACCAGAAAAAGCAAGTGTTTTCAAAGATTTGGTTCTTATTATAGATCAATCCCTACAAAAAATGAAACAGGTAGGCAGACAGAAATTAGTCTATTATATTGTCAGAATTAAAGCACCCCCACAGTACAAGCTGACAGTAACACATCATATCCTGATCTATGTGCTGTTTTAAGCTTCTCTGTACAACCAAATGCCTCCTACCAGCACCTTATCCCCATCTCTGAAGTCTACACATAACATCCAGCACTTGGACTGCATTCATCTCCCCATGTCCTACCTACAGCCTGTTCAGGCAGCAGCTATTACCACAACACAGTAATCACCCTGTAGCTATTCTAGGAATCCCATAGTGCAGTTCTGAAGCACAAGCATTATGATCTGAATGAAATCTAGCTCGTAGCGTGACTTTCACCTGAAATACTTTCTCCTTCAGGAGTTCCTGGAAGTGCGTTTGCTTCCACAGACAGAGACTGGCTTTCGTGTAGCTCACAGAGGGACAGGACAAGAACCTCCAGGACAGTTCAACTTCCTCCTCCTCACGCCCAGTTCCTCGAGCCTCCAAGTTCAGCCGGGGCACAACATACTGCAACTAAAATAGGGACACCTTTCACCAGGGGCAAAACCTGCTTTCATCACTGAACAGTGTGAAATAAGGAACACGCAAACACACTTGAAGACACTGCACCAGTGATGCAAGTTGCTCAATAATTTGCACAAACAGGTTTCCCAAATGGAAGCAAAAAGTGTAATGTTCACTAAAAATCCAAGCTCTGAAACAGAGAATTCATGGGTCTGCTCCTTTGTACTACAGCAAATTAAACCCCTCACCTGCAGCCCAGGGGAACTCAGCAGACTTAGTTGTTTCTCATTCCACCCACCCACAGTGCTCGCGCAAAAATCTCAAAATATGTCAAACTGCCAACACCCAGAGGGTTTTTCCCGAGATCCCAAAATCATGGAGTGTGTGCAGGGTACAATTTTAGACATCAGAGCCTTTCAGTGCATCATTAAGCCACAGCAATGCAAGCAGAGTTGCTCCATAATAGCTCACGCCTCATGGAATGAACAAACAGAAGAGAGACCCAGATCCCATCATGCAGTCAGGGTAAATACTGCAGTTAGTGCTGTTAAGCCTGGGCGCTCAAAAAGTTGCCCTGGCACTGTGTTTTTAACGAGTTAGGCAAAGCAGGACTTGATGCACCTTTTACCTTCTTTAAAAGGCCAGGAGGAAGGAAGCTGCATAAGTCACCATGAGGAAGGGAAGAAAACTTGCAGAGACAATAAGAAACCGCTGCAGTACAAAACCTGAGGAAAGAGACAGCAGTTACTTGGCTTAGCCAATTTGCTATGTCTGTCCTTCTTTTAACCACTGTTGCTTTCAATCCAGGAAGGTCCAGGGCCAAGACAGACCCAAGGATGCCACCAATGATGACCTCGAACACTTTTAGCAGTACCCAGTGCCCCCCTAGTCCAACAGTGCAATCCCTGTGCAAGCTTTAACAATAGATTTTAAAGGAAAAAGCTGTCAAGGTAACTACATCCATTATTTTAGAAGCTGGCACAGGAAGTTGGGGAAAAGGCAAGGACAAAACCATAAGGCCTGTGCTCTCTGTGTACAAGCCTGAAGGCTCTGTATTGTGCGCGTCCGAGCAAACTCCAGAGGCCCCCTCCTTTTTATTAAGGGGTGGGGTCTGTGGAGATCACAGCTACACCATGCTTCCACTTGATCAGAGATATCCAGGCACAGTTGGGGTTTCCATCTGCCCACCTCTCCCTAAAAGATGAGGGTGACTTCAGTGAGCTTTAGATCAAGACAACGAGAGACTGTCCTGGGGTCTCGGCAAGTTGCTGACACAGCCCACAAGTGGGCAAAGTAACTTCTATTTTCAAACAAAAGGATCCTTAGACCAAATCCTACTGTGGACTCTGGTGCAAGAGTTATACCTAGGGCCTTCCTGTATGGCAGAATGCATTGGCCCAGGTTTCTGCTTGTGGGAAATCCAACCTGGCTCTCTAAATAGGGAAACCAAGCATTTGATGGCCAAAGGCTCTCACCTCAAGCAGAAGGCTAAGGACTCCCCTGTCCTGCAGGCCAATAAACGGTCACAGAACTCAGGAACAGAAAGACCCCTTGCAGAGGCAGGCTGAGGAGCCAGGGATCCCACATCCACTTCAGGAACGAAGGATTTGCATTCCCATAAGTGAACCACAAAGGCAGCCAGTCCCAAGACGTGAGCCTCGTTTAGGGAAGGACCCTGCAGATAAACAGAAACAGCAGCTGAAGAGATGCATTTCAGTGTTTTTGAAGCACATGAATAGCAGCAATGCGAGAATCCTGCAACAGTAGCCCGGTGTAACTAAACATCAGTTCCACTCTCCCAGAAGTTCAGAGACTTCTGGTTTTCGAGATTCTGCTGTAGTTGGAAGCATTTATCAGCCTCATAACTTAACCCTTTCAGAACAAAGTGAAGGCCACAAAACCAAGGATACCCTAAAAACTAGTGGCCATACAAGATATAGCTCTGGGTTTCAAATATCTCCTAGAAGCTGGCTGAGTGGTAACCGTGCTACACCCATCTTATACCCCTCCAACACAGTGACTCTGAAATCACCCGAGGGAATTCAGCAAGAACAGAAACGGCATAAGGTAGCTGTGTGTCAACTCCCAGCATGGGAGAGGGTCAGGACAGGCAGAACTGATTACCAGACGTCAGGGGCTGCACCAGTGGACAATTCAGGGGATATAAAGATGATACAAAAAGCAACTCCCCACCCTTTCCCGGGCTATGCTCTCTGTGTCTGCATCTCTTGTGAGGCAGAACACACAATGTAGCCCCAAAATTGCAAGCTGGGGAATGTGATTTGGTGTGTAATACCGCTTGTACCCATTCAGAATGAAAGTTTGAGGGCACAGACCATCTTCAGACTGATGCAGCATTTACCCAGCACCTGTAATGTCTAAATGTTCCTTTTAACTAACTGTCAGTGCTTCACTCCAAACATCACATGCAAAGTCTATGTTAATGAAGGAATGCAGGCACAGAATTAAAAGCCACAGAATCTGGAAGTCTAAGGACTAATCCAGCCATGTTTTCTTGGTATCTTCATTACTTAGCAGACTTTAACCATGCAGTACAGGACGTGCCAGGGGCTAAGTTATCACTCCAGGAAAATCCTACTGTTAGTACTTTTAGAGATCGAGTTTGGATGCTTGTCCAATGCAAGATTTCTTTGGAAACCAACAGGCTGCAGAACACCCTCTGCAGTGCGGCTCAGATGGGCATGCACCACATGCTTCGCATGCAGAGGCCAAGACAGCCTTGAGCATGAGGGTCTTCACTAACCTGATAATAAATAAGCTGACAAAGCCTGGTCAGCAAGGCAGGTAGGAGATCCCTGTGTCCACAAATCATCTTCACAAACAGGGATGGACAGTGCCCCTGCCTAGAGAGAATACAAACCACATGGTCATAGTTTTGTGCCCAGAAGCTTGTCTAACAACTCTCCCAACTACAGTTAACCCAATACAACATATGAAAAAGTCATGGCTCTTGCAAAGGGCACTGAACAACCATCGGAGATGACCACATCTGGGCTTTGACTGTAACACTTACACAATTATTGCTGACACAATAGAAAGAATAGAAAGCAAACAGTTCTTTCCAAAAGGAACTTCAGGTAATGGACTGCTTAGTCATACTCAGACTATTTGTCAGCTCAGACAAGCATGTAACTGCTCGAACAAAGTAAGTCACATGCAAATTTAAGCTCCAAGGGAGAAAAACGAAACATTTCACACTGCTTTTGATCATGTCCTCAGTAGGAAGTTTCATGCCTTGTCCACTTGGTACTGGAGATGGCCATAGGGCTAATGCCCGAGATGCCTGGATCCACAGCCCCCAAAATTACCCAGAAGACATTCTAGTGCTTCATGTGCAAAGAAAAATATCCTCTTTGTGCTTCGATTAGTTTGAGCTAACAAAAAGTTACCAAGAACTCTGCTCAAGACCTCTCTTTCTATCCCATCTTTAGGAGCAACACGCTGCATCTGGTAGAAAGCTGAGCTAAGATTCACTTCAAAATGAATGAGGCTGTAGAAAAGCGCAAAGTATTTCCACCATCATGTCAAAATACAGTAGCGTTTAGATCAGCAAGGCTCAGAGTAAAGGCTTGAAAAATGTCAGTCTGGCATACTGGGCAGCAGCAAGGGTTCTCTACAGATCCCTGCACAGTGCAGGTATTATAGCACCCTTCAGGGCAGTCCTGCGAGCAGCCTGACCATGTGCACATCTTACCTGTCAGGGGGGTTAAAATAGGAAGCAGCTATTAGATTCTGGCAAAAGGACGTCAGTAAGAGATCAATGACCTGGAAAAAAAGAAACCATTCGTGTCTGCTTTGTGACTGGAGGGCCTAGATCTACTTTTAGATGGACACACGCACACTTTCCCCACATATTAGAACAGACGTGCTATAGTCATGGGTGCCAAGACATTGAAGTTAAGGCTCTGCATTATAACCCCAGGAAAGTTTTATATCCCCTCCAGTTATCCAGATATGCCCCCATCAAGAAAGCCCGTGTCACTGAATGGATATACATGATATACTGCATATCCCTAGGGCACTGCAGCCCTCCAGAGACTGGAAGGCTCAGTGCACACTTCTGTTCTCCAGAGAGCACTACGAGATGTGCAAACTGGGAAATACATTTTCTATTCTTCAGAGAAGACAGCTTTTGGTGTGGGCTGTATACACGTGCACGCACAGAGCCCCCACCGGCCCCCAACCTAACTGCGCTCCTCCTCACTCCGAGCTCTAGCACACTCACATTCTGATACGGAGCTTCAATTCTGGGGTCCGACACATTAACTTGGACTCGAGAATTCAGGGAGGCAGCTTCGTTCTCATCTTTACTGTGTCCCAGGACTGCAGTCAGCCTCTCAGAGATGACTGCAATCTGGGCTGGCACAGCTGCAGGAGAAAGCAGGATGAGAAGAAAAAAAAAAAGAAAGCAAGTGCAAAGGTGAGAGAGGAGCTGGAATTCAGGGCAATACAGCAGTTTCCAAAATCCTTAGCTGTTGATTTTTTTTGTATAAAAGGCAAGGAGGGAATTCCTCTTGGCTTCTTTTAACATATATGCACTCCACTGTCACATAATACCTTAAAGTGCAGCAGAAGAGACTGTTTTTTCTTCTGCATTTTGAGACCATCTTTGGTTTGGAAATGCCAAGAACACTGCCTGGAACACAGCATGGAACTGAAGGGGGCCCTCAGGATGCTAAGACCAGATCCCTCCAGTCACAGGCAACACTGTGAAGTCCCAAAGCACCCAGAGGAGCCCTCCCTCCAGCACATACAGCTGTGGAGTACTGTGTAATAAACTTAGGATCTTTAGTATAAACACTAAGTCCACAGGGTGCCACCTGAGGACAGCAGGAGGGATAAGTGTGCTACCGGTGCCAGGCCCCTGCAATTAAGAGACCTGATGGTGCAAAGCAGAAAGTGCCCTGTGCAATAGTAGAACGTAAAACAGTGGCCTGACCCAAGATAAATTCTTTCCTGACCTAAGCCCAATAATCTGTTTAACTCTGAGCATGTGAGCAACAGGCAGCAGGCAGAAACCCAACAGGTTTTCTATACTGTTAGAACACTCTTCAGCCTATCTTCCATCTCTAGCTGCAGCTAATATCTGATGCTTCAGAGGATGGTGAAACCCAACTCCTCCCTCCTTTTCCCCCTTCCAAAAGCTAAGTAATCCAATGAAGGGGGAAAATAATTTCCTCCTGGCCCCTACAAGCAACCAGCAGACATCCTGAAACATGGGATTAGCACAACAGGGCATAAGCAATATAAGGATATTAAACATTCAGGACGAAGAAGGAGGAACATATGATGGAAGCCTGATTCATAAGGGCCCATCACACCCACAGTCACCTTCCTTACCTGCACTCATGAACCACTGGGCCTCCTGCAATCCAGGCTAGCACATGGCCTCAAGGCACAAGAGCCCAGAGATGCATCAAGCTCATGACCCCAGTGCGGAGCTGCTCAAACGCTCAGGCTTTCCACACCTCCAGGACACTGTCTCTGCCCTGGCACCATTTTCTCTAGATTCAACAACTGCCTCCAGGCTCTGCCCTCATCAGCAGCAAAATCAAAAACAAAAGAATGGGTGAAAAAAAAAAAAAAAAAATGAAGCTTCCAGCACTTCTGCACTTCCCAGATCTTGGCTTGCAGGACAGGGGCCGCTTGGTGCTCAGAGCAGTGCTCCATGGGTTACTTACTGCCCTGCAACGCCTCTCACAGCATGTGCTCTACAACTGATCACACACCAAGGATAAGGAAAGCACTAAGGACATTTTTATACATGCTCTGGGACACTACACTGGGCACATTAATTTACGAGCCATGCTAATTAAAAGTGCCCTCACGCCACGTGTACCAGCATCCCTGCGCTGAAAAATGGCAGTGGGGCACTTTGAACCAACGCTCATTGAACGTGTTTTAGTTCAAAGCACCCCGTCACCATTTTTTCAGTGCAGGGACACTGATGCACTTAATGCAGAAGGCTGCCAGAGTGCATCAGTTTCCGTGCTCCAGCAGACTTGATTAATTGAGTCTGCTCCCACATGCTGGGTTTCCAGGGCATCGGAGCAGGCTCCCCACACATCTATAGGAGACCAAAGTCTCCAAATGTACCTGACACACTAACCACAGGCCACAGAAATGCGTTTCCCCTCTTCTTCAAACCAAACAAACATTCCTGCCATCATTACTTACGTGTTTACATCCTTGGGACAAAATAAGTCAGTCGAGGGTGCTAATGCCAAACACCAGCTGCTTGTTTGTTCCTTTTTGAAAGCAAGCAGCAAACTCTAGTTTAGGCATCATTCTTCAGGGGAATTTACTGCTTGGGGTTTTTCAAGATACAGTAAATGTATTTTGTTTCATCTGTCTCACCACGGATGAATCTCTGATCTCACCACAGCTAAGTTTGGCCAACATATCTGTCTTCATTGCAGTTAAAGGAAAGCCAAAGCTGGTACACCATCTTCCTAATGCATAGCTCACGAACCGAGAGACAACAAAGTATTTTGGAACAATGGTTCCCAAGCAGCAGTCCAGAGAAGCAACCCTTATACCAAAACTCATATTTCACATCCCGCCAGAGGGGCAGTGCTCTTATCTCAAACTCATGGCTGAACAACAGTAAGAGGGGAATCCTCAACCTCTCAGAAGAGAAATGCTGTAATACAAAAGATGGCCCTCACCTCTAAAAAGACGACCAGGAGGAATTACATGAATCAAAGAGATTGGTCTTCAACCACAGTGGCAAGATACATAGCTCTGTTGTTCCGGAATTACAAACAGCCACCTGTGAACATTTCTTACATTTTATTTGCTACCGGCTCCCTCCCCACGTACCGCTGTATTTGCTTTGGTCTGTGATCAGCGTTCTCAGTTCAGCTAGTTCAGCCTTAAGCTGCTCAAGTGGCTCTTTAAGATGGTCAGTCTCCATTTCTATTGATCCATCTAGATAAATAGGAGAGAAATGCGATAGATATTATACCAGTTTAAAAACATGAAACCTAAGCAATAATTTACTAATCTTCCACATACGCCTTATGTAAAGATTACATTCACTTTTGTAGATAAATCCACGACACAATGTGGATCTGTCACTGTACATAGCGTCATTTTATCCTCAAAATTAAAATGCCATTTGATCACTTATGATCTTATGTCTTAGAAAAGAATTTAACTCTGAAACCAAGAAATGAAAGAATCTCACTTCATAATTTCTTTCCTACTCTGATTTGCTCCCCATCCCCTCACAGCTAGGCTGCAAAAACATTCCACAAATGCAAAGTTAAATGCTAAAATCTTAAATCAGACTAAAATCAACAGCTCATGCTGCAACAAGAAAGCAAAAACTATATTTAAGTCTCCAGGTGGATAGGTTGGGTCTTTGTTTAAAAGCGAAGTTCCCATTCATCACTGGAGAGAAACAGCTTCCAATATGCAGCAGTGCAGGCCCAGAAGCAAGCAGAGTTGGTCAGCGAGCACTTGGGAGGCAGGGCTTTGTGTCAGAACCAAAACAAACCCAACCTTGGACACAGGAGATGTCCAAGTAAAGACTTAGGCTAAATTTGCAAATTGTTATAGCAGTTTCCAGTGATGATATTTTATCGCCTTTCTGTGCTAGAGCAGAGCCTAGGGGAGGCTTAGAAATAACGGACAAAATGTATCTTTGGTATAACTTCATTGATGTCAGTGTAAGAGCACCAGTGATGAATTGGCTTAAATGATTCAGTTCTGCCACAAGGTAAGGAAGATCAGAAGAAGCCGCTAGAGGTCACTGTTAACTCAAATGTATTTGTGCTTGCAAAGAACAACTTTTTTTTACAACTATTTAGTTGGTCTAATAAAAGATACCACCTCTACCCAAAGGCTTTGCCTACCCTTGTGCTTAGACCAATACAGCTACCGCCTAGATCCCTGAAATATAGAAGATGCCACATGTTGCCATTTCAAATGGAAACTTCACAACGTGAAGAAGAAAAAGAGCCAGTTTCAACAACCAGGACTAATTTTTAACTTCGCATACATGCACCCCCCCCCGAGCCTGGATGACATCTGACACCTACAGGTAAAAACCTGCTTCTGTTTTCTGCAACCCTTCTACATTTCCATTCCTGCAGAGCAGCTTTCTAAAAGACTGGCTTTTTTCCTACCTGAGAGACTTCTGACCATCCTTCATATCTCTCACCATTTTCAATTTCTTTTTTTTGCCTGAGGAAGGACGTGTGTGTTCGAAAGATTGCAAAGTACAACTTTTTTGGAACAATTTAGTTGATGTAATAAAAGATAATTGCCTGTGCCCAAAGACTTTGCCTGCCTTTGTGAAAGCCTTCACATTCCAGCAGGGTCATGGTGAACCGCAGTACTGTCACTAGTCTTTTTTGCATTTGCTGGTTTCCAGGACACCGAGCGGCCAGACTCTGCTGAATACCAGAGGAATGACAGAACTTCTGTCCTTGTGTTAAGTAGAAGGGGTCAAAACATACCTATAGAGCAACAGCAACTTTGTGAGACCTCTTAAAAAGGTGTGACGTTTCCTTAGCATAGTCTGTATACTAACTTAAGCTCAGTTACGGACACAAACTAGGAATATTTGACTTTAGTGGACCTAACTCAGTATTGCTGCTTCTGTTACTGTTTGAAGATAGGCCCCATTCTGGGAATGTCAGAGGACTTAAACTCTCCTTGCTCAGAGAGGCTGTCGAAGTAAGTCCATTAAAATTGTGCAATGCTGTCAGCCTAGCTGCTAAGGTCAGATCTTAAACTAAACTCAATGGATGTGGGTTGACAACCACAACAGTTACATTTTCAGACTTATTTTTCCACCTATTCCTATGGCCCCTTTTCTTGGCTAGGCATTTTAACTCAGTCCTAAGGCAGACCACCGCTGATGTACAATCACACTGTCCTGCAGGAGACCAGGACTCGGGTTCTGACACTCCAGGCTAGTGGGGATAAGAGGTTTGCTGCACAGCAAAGAAATATCCAACCCAGCGTTAAAGTAGCTAGTTCTGGGATCAGTCACAGCCCAGATAAGATAGCACGAACTTCCTGATAAGACTCGGAGCTGTTGGTTTCATATATTAATACAGCATAAATCACTTATGTTTACACACACCAAGAAATGGACTGATTCGCATCGGAATTTTCCCAGGGATCATAAAGGGCATCAATAAAAACACAGATAGTTAATCTTGGCTCATTTTGCCAACACACGCATGTTTGTTTAAGGAAACAGATTCTCACCTCGTACCAGTTTCTTTCTCATAGCTTGACAATCTTGAATGTATCTGGAGTACACGTTTGGGGGAATTTTATTGGCTCTGAATTAGGAGAAAGATATATGAATCAGACAGAGACAGACGGACAGAATTAATATATATTTCCATATACATCTGTGAGTGCAATACTTGATGGGCAGGTGTACAATGCTAAATGAACATTTTCGAACTAGATGGCCCACTGAGGTCCCTTCCAACACTAGAATCTATGAATCCATCACTGTGTATGTAACAGGATTACTTCAGTGTTTTAATAAGGTTATGATAGGTACAACTAAGTCTTAGACACTACATGCAAGACACTAGACCTGGAGACTGAATCAGGGCATCTCACATGAACAGTCCTTGGAGTTTGCCAGTAAGTACCAACCTGTAAGCAAAGTGTCTTGCAGTAGCACGGGCCTCAGATAACCTGATTCACACTCAAACATTTCTAAGAAAAAGCCTAGCAAATCAGAAATTCCCTTTGCATCACGCGCTTTGTTTTCAGTACCTCTTTAAGGAGTCTATAAGAGCCATGCATGAATCTGGAATTTCAGGGAGCTGTAAGAGAGAAAACATTTGGGTTAGAAGAGCATTCACTATTCACAAATTTACAAATGAAAGCATACCCCCCTGCCCCCAATACTAACCACTCGTGGCTGGAGTAAAGCAGGAATAAAACGGGAAATATAGTAAGGTCGTCTGAAAATACTAAAAAGATATGGCAAAGGTTAGCAGCAGCTAAATACAGAGTCACTGTTGTTACTATCAAGTGTGATGTCTGTTTGGCTGTAGACGAGGAGTGTTTAAAACCCAGAACAAATTCTATTACCCGTAAGAGGGCAGCACTTCTAAACAAAGCCACCTGACATAGGTGTTAACTATTGTTAGTACCAAGTTTCCTTCCCCTATCACCTGCTCACAGGAGAATGAATCCAAATTCACACCAACAGCATTTGTACTAATGAACAGACCCTGAAGCTGTGGGTCATTTCTTGCGTGTATGTGGCTTTCCCATCCTCTACACGTCACCTGAACAAACAGCATTTGGGCTTAGGTGTCTATTGCAGCACTAGATAAAATAGGGAGTTCTTCCTAGACACCCCTTTGCTCCCAGTCTAAGCTTTTTCCCCATTTCTGTTTTGACATACTCCTGAAATAGCATAGTTTGCAGAACCCTTGGGCAGTCACTGTACCTGGCTTCCATCACGCTGGTAGGGATCTTCCCTGTATTTTCAAATATCTGAATGGCCTTTTCAACATCCTGAAGCGCTTGGCAGTGGGGCTGGCTCACGTAGGTGACAAGGGAAAAAAGTGAGGATGTTAAGATGACAGTAAATCTGCCTGGCCTGCTCTTTCGAGCCTAGTAATTCACTATTTTACCTTCACTGTATTCACAGTACAAAGACTGAAAGGATGCCAGTGACTGCTATGGAAGTAACAATGCAAGAAAAGCAAGGGAAAGGAAATGAAGCTCAACCTGTACCCAACTGTGGCAGTCTCCTTGTGGGTAAGCATAACTCACACAGAGCTGAAAGAAACCAGAAGAGCCTTTTACTTGAGACTTCATCAGGATGTGCACCCCCCATGATGAACAGCCTATGCCCTCAGCCACTGCATCACTGACACCAACTATATTTCATGCTCCTTTAAATAAATTCACTCTTCCTATTTATTTCCAGTCGATTGATCTGTCCTATTGAGTTAGGTGCTGATCAAAACACAGAATAAAAATGTTACTCAAAAGTAACAATGGCAAAGCCAAACCTCCCCTTTCCGTTTAGTAGTGTTATTCAAAACGTATTGTATTTATGGCAGCCTGGGATTGCAGTCTGAGGACACAACTCCTACCAAAGAGAATACCCCTTTAAATCAGCAAGTCATCTCGATTGCTACAGAAGGCCAATGCCATTCATAATTGAAAAGACTTATTTACTGAGGTGATGTAGTGTGGCCCTTTCCATGTGACCAATAATGAGGTGGAAATCATCCCAGTAACAAAGAGTATAATTAGAAAACATTCTGAATAATCATCCAGTACCTGCACAATTTCTTTGGTTGATAAATCTTCATAAAGCCCCATGTCCTCTATGGAGACCTGTGTAGGGTTACATAAAAAAACCACAACGTGAAGTGGGCTGCACTCACAGAAAAACCTGATTCTTCAGATGAAGAAGAACACCTTTTACTAACCTTGAGATCAGCCAGCCTGGTTTTGGCCAGAGCGATATATTCCGAGAGAAAGGAACGGTATTTTGCTGGCACAAAAGGTGGATGCATTATGTGGACCTAAGGAGTGAAGTTCAAAGACAGGGTACTGATTCTTTAGTTTTACAAGCTATGAATGCCAACTTCTTGTTCATCCTATAGATTGTCTGATCAAATCCCCAGAAATAAGCAGGCACAACTGCCTGCTTGAGGACTCAAAGAAAAGCTAGTCATATTACAAAGGAAACCTTTCCATACACAAAATCGTGATGAGCTTTAATTTACTCCCCTGAGAGTTGATTTTTTCATCACACCAAGCAAGGGAATCCTTTGTTAGTTTATTTTTGGGAAGGATGCTGGCCCTGCCTTTGAGGGATTTATCCTAAGCAAGACAATTATAAAATATAATTTTATAATTATATGCTGAAAGCCTGACTTAATAAGCTGAAGCAGCTTGGAGCAGCTTTCTAACATAGCCCCCAGAAAATGATCTTCATTAGCAGCTTCTCACCTTCAGGTACTGCGGCGCTTCAAAGGGCACCAACTCCGACAGGAATTCAAACAGGAAGACCAAAGCCTTCTTGCTGTTACCATGGTAACCACTTGAATTCCCAAAGGAAGCCTAAAAGAGGAAAAATGACAATATTGCCTTTCAGTGTCGAGAGACTACAATCAGCGTGGCGATCCCAGCTGCCATATAAATCTGTTTTCTGTCTAGGCAACACACATCCGTGGAAGGATTTCCTGAGAACATTATTTATTTAAAAAAATCTTTTATTCAATTCCCAGAAAGCCTGTCACAATAAATATCAAAGTTCAGTTTAAAGCCCTTGAGGGAGCACTTACAGGCAGTTAAACTGAGGTGGTAAACTGAGATTTGTGACTTGGGAGTCAACAGCAGACTCACAGGTTTTTACACAGTGGTAAATACACCTTTGCTCTGATAAACCTAAATATTACAGGAACAATACACCTGTCTACCGGGGTCACACAATATAACATTTTATTTTTCAATAAATTCTGGCTATTTCAGGACTGACAAGCCCACTTGTGCATATACAAATACATAAAGATTTGCATCTCTAGATTTAATATACTTTTACCACAGCTGTCAAAGCAGATCCTCAACACGTGTGATTACCGCAGCTGCATATACATCTCTGCAATTTCTCCAGCCTACAACCTTGCATGACAACGTTTTCAGTTATCAAGACGCTGGAAAATATCTAGTCTTATTGTACTTATTAACTAGCCTTGTGCACCGAAATTTCTGACCAATAACCAGAGAAGCCAAGCAGAAGTCAGGGGAGGAGGGAAGGAAAGCTAAAAAAAGACACGATTACTGAAGAGAAGAAATATTTGGTTTATTCCTTTGTAAAGCTAAAGGCAATAGTCAATACTAATAATATATCGCTACAGTCAAGACTATTATTGCCCACCTCTACTCCAGATCAAGGTCCTTCCTATGCATGTTTAAACGAATTAATTCCTTCTAATTCTCTCCCGACACATCCCCCAATGACAAAAACACACAGAATTCTCAACTGGTCTTTTTTTTTTATTCTTACCTTAAACCATTCAGCATAAGGCATGAAAACGGCAGGACCTTCCAGCGCAGCCTGACGAACGATCAGGAACGCAGTGATTATATTTTCCATATCATAATTCTCAAAGGCTTTTGTCAGCAGATGGCTCAGTAGGTCTAGAATTGACACAAACAATAACCTAAAGACACAAAATACCTGTGGCTGAAATTTGAAATGGACTCTTGGCACTGGAATTCTCTTACAATAAATGCAGCCCATTATCTGCTTTGGGACTCGGCCACAACATTGTTTTAGCTGTTGTATAATGGCACCTTGCTTTGCAACAAACCATTTAGACTGCACTGGCCCCCAATAACTGCAGAGTCCAGACCAGTGAACACTAAGAATCACAGAAGAAAGAGGCACACTCGTGGTGCGCACACATTAAGAAAGAACCCAAACTGTACCAGTAAAGGCTACTCAGATTAGCAGCTAAGGCGATTATTGCATAACTGCTGCTACCAGAAAGAAAATTGAGAAACGGCAGTTGAAAGGCTTGACATGCACATCAGGATGAAACTTGGACAATCCGAATGGAGAAGCACAGCCCTGGTGTTCTTTTTCTTACAGTGCAGCAAGTAATTAATTATACAATGGCTGAAGCCATCTAGAATCCGACTACAAATCTAATACTGTGCTGGTCAGGGCAGTCCTGAATGTTTGGCACCCGGACAAGCAGGACACAGGTACCCTACCACGTTCCTCAGCACCCAGTACCTTTAACCAGCTGCTCTGCTTTCACCTGGCAAATCACCAGCGTGGATACACAGGAAAGCACATGCTGCCAATTCACCTCGTGAGTCTCCAGGACCTGTTGCAAATGAGACAGCAGCTCCTCTGCACTGAAGGCCACGAACAGCTGGAAGATAGTAATGGTGTTTCATTTTAGTTCTGCCATCCTGGTACAGTGAAATCTCCTCTGCATTTTGTTCCAACAGGACACTCCTGACTTCACTCAGGATGCAGCTGCCTTCTGCGATTTTGGGACAAAGCTACATTTGTGCATTCCCCAAACAAGCTTCCCAGCTCAAACAGCAATGCTGCCCGTTGACTCCAATGGGAGTAAGATCAAGCTGTTTCACAAACGCAACGATCCAAGTGCTTTACCTACTTTTTATTCTTTATACATGGCTTGTTGTTATTACATTTTGGATTGCAGCACGCTTGCACTGTATTTGTCCCTCCCTTACTCTCACTTTGTTGTGCAAACGTCTTCATCAGGATGAGCAGAATTTTGTGGCTACATGGTCTTCCCACCACACCACTGCCTACAACTACTGGAAGCTGATTCAGGCTGTGGGACTGAAATCCACTGCTTTCCTTCTCAGTTTAATGTTTGCCATTGGAATTGTGACAAGGAAAAAAAAAAGAACTGCCAACTAGAACTTAAAAAGTAGTTTTCATACACATCAAGTTCTGAGCAGTTTCAGAAATGTAACCTGAAAAACTTATAAGCTATGTTCTCTGTGCAAAACCTAGGAGACAGACGTACTTTGCGATACAGGGTAGTGAGCAGCGGGGTGGTCCTTGCAAAACTCCACTCTCTCTGCATATGAATGGCATCAGACACTGCATCCAGATAAAAAAAAAAAAAGTTACTTTATAAATCACAACAGATAAAAAGTATATGAAACCCTCTCCAAATCTGGCATGCAGCTATATTTTAGCCAACAATTCAGAAACCTTCCTCATTCTACCTGAGGATTTCTGTACCTTTCCTTTCTTGATTCCTACCTTTCAACAGAGGATTATAAGTAAGAACTTCAGTCAAGGTGTGAATGAAAAATTGGTGCAAAGCATCTGGACACACGGTACTTCTGTACATTGTCGCATTGAATATGTTCAGCCTATGAACAAACAAGAAACATTCAGGGACCACACAGGGATCCACTGACCATGTGTGGCTTACAGATGACACCTTTGTATTCTCACAGTTTCATAGTGCTTAGGGTCAGAAGGGACCTAAACAGATCATCAGGTCCGACCCCCTGCCCTGGGCAGGAACGAGTGCTGGGGTCATAACACTATCTATCTCCAAATATCTCTCTCCTACTACTGCTGTTCTTATCAGTCAAGTTGTCAAAGCTGAAGTAAACCCTGATACTGTTTTGAACACATACATCAAGAACGATTCTGTCCCTCTGCCTCCTTCCCAAATTGACAGATTAATATAGGGGTTTAGTCAGTTTTTACATAAGAGCCAGCTAAATGAAGCACAGGAGAACTGATCGAGAGAGAGACAGGGCATGACAATTGTGATCTCTAACAAAGGAGCTGGAAGTTCAAGAGGAGGCTGGAACTGATGGCAACTGCAAGGCACACGAGGAGAACTCAGGTGAGAACGGCTGCCAGGGAAACTCACAGAGTGCCGTGTGGGGACTCCAGGGGTGGTCTGAGATTGCCAGAATGTGTTTTATTATGTTTCTTTTTTGCAAATACCAGCCAGTAAGTTTATGTGTACGTGTTTGTAAGGGTGGAAAATATCAAGAATAAGTCAACTTACCTGTGAATTACTTGAAAATGTCTAAAAACTATATATGCTCACTTCATAAACTTATTACAGAAGACACACATGGAACAGTGGAACAGACATGCTTAGGGTATTTATAGGAGAGATTTCTTACCAGCATTTTACACCTTGCAGCTTAGTGGTGTCTTCCTGCTTTTCTTTAGCAATGGCATCCAGCACCCCTAATACCCCAAAATATAAAATAAACACCAAACAAGTCAGAGAAAGATTTGGAAAGAATTGCGCCATTAAGCTTAGAGAAACAAATTAGACTGAGCACTGTGCAACCTTTAAGGAGGTGACCCCATTAGGGAAATGGGCAGCAAGAACCATTCATCAGTGCTCGGCTCTTAGGAAGATGTCTTTATTAGCATTAACCTTGAACCACTTTAAAAGGATCCCCACCATGTGCTGGCAATCGAACCATTTAAAGATACACATATATGACAACTCGGGTTCCAAACCCTGGCCCCAGATCCTGCAAATACAATCTGTAGGCACAGACCCTCATGCCTCTGTGACGTCCACTAAGAGACGACAACGCTTCTGCTAGCAGATCTTACCCAAACACACTGTGACAGAGGGATGACTAGGTCACCTCACCATATGAAACGAGGCAGCCCCACTTTGAGAGTTCATGGTATTACATCCAACACCACTCAGACAAAGACTAGCCTCTATTGCTAATTCTGCTGAGGGTAAAGTGCTAGCAGTTCATTCATGGCACTGTCTTGGCACATTAAACTGCCATACTCACAGCCTGTTATTAAGGCTGGTCCTAGTGAATGTGGTAGACACAGCAACTTTCCAGTTTTTTACTGTATCACATTCAAATACGTCCGAATTACTGGAGTGAAACCACCAAGCTTTAAAAGAAGAGCCTTTTGATGTGGGTTGGGATTTTTGAGGAGACAAAAAGAGAGAGATGTCTCATGCCTATGCCTTATCTGCCAGGCCCTGCTCTTTACTTGATTTATTCTCTCTCTCCAGGAAGAGGAATAAAGCTAAGTAAAAGAGGGAAACTGCTTATCTTCAGCCACAGGAGTTCAATATCACCATATCATCATGTAGCCTAGTGCTCCTACTGCTTTCAGCTTGTTTGTTGATACCTACACCTCTCCCAGCCCAGATCTCTGCAAAATATTTAAATCATGACAGCAGTTAGTCACTGAAGTGAAGAGACCCAACAGCGATGACCCAGAAATGTTCACTACACAAACTAAATGAGAATAATATCTATAGAATGTCTTAATCATTCCTCTTTTGGGGAAAACCCTGAAGGGTCTGCATATGGTCCTGGCCTGAAGAGCATTGCTATTAAGAAACCAGAAGAACTGGTCAAGAGACCAGTGACAGAACTAATTCAAGGAACATCCTGGACTCTTGCCTATCCATGGTAAAGCAAGGGTGCTCATTCTGCAGATACATGGCTGTGTGGATAGGACAGCAACAGATGAAGATCATTCCCCACAGAACAGGAAAGTTGACTTGTGCTTGGTTTCCTCCCTCCTCCCCCCATGATTTGCAATGTAAATCCAGATGCTACTATTTTGCACCCAAATCATCATCATCATCACGGCTTAGTGAAGAACAAGATACACTGCTTGTAAGACAGTTTAGGAAGACTCCAGCTATTAAATTAGATACCCAGTTTAGATTATGTGAATGTCTTTGTTCACTACTCTTAACTCATCATTGTTTAATAAAGCTATTTGAAGCTTTTACAGAAAAGATACTCTTGAATTCAAAATGGCATCGTTGACAAAGCACAGAGTTCCTTGTGCCAAACACGCAAGTTCAGAGCTCACACGTACCAAGGAACCAATGAGTTAGCCTGCAGCAAACTCCATGCTGCCACAGGTACACTGCTTCCAGGACCTGAGCCAGCTCATTTAAGCCAGCTTGGTTATCTGTGCGCTACACTACAGTCTGCAGTGCACACATAACTTTAGTAAAGAAAAACTGGATAGGAGGCAGGGTTGATTTGCCAGGCCAGAGATGAATGGGAGAAAAGACAGAGGCAGCTTGAAAGACCAGTAACTTTCTATTACACTGCAGTAGAGGAAACATGTTCTCAGTAAATAGCTCCTCTATGCCCTCTGAAATCTCCCAGAAAAGAAAGTCCACCTAGTAAAGTACAGTTTCGATACACTGCGCAAAACCCCAAGTAGTAATCAGTACTCACAGGTCAACATCCTTTGCAGAACAGCAAAGCAGATCTGTTTGAAATGAACAAACGATGGTCACTTAGCATTGAATACAGCAGCAAGTGTGTTCAGAGTAAATCAAGGGGTTCAAAAACTAAACTGTCCTGAAATTCCTGATTCAAAGCTTATCTTAACATAAACCGACTTGTCACATAAGTATAATGTGATTAATCGAACAGCCTGATTATTCTTGGCATTACAAACCAGAAATGCAGCAGAACAATCTAGGAGAACATATAGGTAAAAAAAAACCCGAACCAAATGGGGACCCCCAAGAAGGGTGGATGTGTTAATTCATCATCTCCAAAATCACCTTTCAAAAGTAACTGATTTTAGAACCCTCCCTACCACCCCCAGCCTCGTCAAGTAGCTTCGAAGATTCACGATAAACTCTCCAAGAAGCTCTAGGCATTGGATCACTCAGCATTTACCTCACCCTATGCTCTCTTGCTGAATTACTGCCCTGTCTATATTGGACTGCAAGCTCTTCCAGCAGGAACTGAGTAATTCTGCATTCTACATAACATTACATAGATCAATGCGCATGCATCTGTTTTTAAAGAACATATACATAAACTGTTTCATGTTGCCCTTACCTGGGGGCTTTTCTTTAATTCCAGCTTCTTTCCCTGATCAGCAGTTTGCTGGAATCCATTCTGAAGAAACGTGATCACAAAGTCTGCAAATCAAGAGTGAGCAACTGTTTTAGCATTCTCTTCTGCCCACAATAGGAGATCACCCACCAGACTCCCAACCAGCATTCCCTCTAAGCTGTGTGGCATGTGTGGCTGCACAGGCACACCTGGCAGTGCAGCATGAGCATGCCTGCACACGCCACACAGCTTAGAGGGAACACTGCTCCCAACAGGACTTCACTTGTTCCACAGCCAGGTGAGCAGACTGCCCAACACCAGCTTATCTCCCCATTTGTGTGCAGAAGGTCCCAGACATCCATCTGTTCAAGAGCTGGTACAACTTACACGGATGTTAATGTGTCCCACAGTCACACATTTGGCATGCTTAGATAGATCAGACTCGCAGTATCAGACTATCCCAGTATCACACAACAAACATAAGAGAACAATCAGCAAACAGGCTATTTTTAAGTGCTCTGCATAAAATGACTGACAAAATGATTTATTCTTATTTGTTTCTCAAGCGACAGTTTCAAATGCCTGAAATCAATTGGTTCCTCAGAACTGTGCACTCTAGGTGAGTTTGTACAGAAGAGAGATCTCAATGTGTCTGAGGAGATCTGAGAGAAAGGACTAACACGTGGCACAGTAAGGAGAAAGAGACCCGAAGTCCTCAAGCTGAAGACTAAGTCTGAGTATCGGAACAATGAAAATGCAGAAATACATACAAGAGAACTGAGTTTGCTTGGCCATACATGACTGAAAGCATTACAATTAAAGGTCAAGTCCTGCTTCTCCATCAAGTGACCAAGCTATCAACTTTTTTTTCTGAACCAGAAGACGTAGGCAACAAAATTAAACAAAAAGCAGCAAGCGGAAGAGAAGGCATAAAATCAAAGCCAGGTTAATTTTAGATGGTTATGGTTAAAAGGTGGAAAGCACATGCACAGGATGTGGGAAACCAACACTGGCTACATGCCTTGCCTCACTACTGCCACCCCTCCTTGGTCAAAGAACTGAAACGTGTGGTACCATGGTGTGCTGCAACAGAATAGAAACCCTTTAATTTTAAGGTTACTGGGTCTAAAAGCAAACCAAATAGTGGTGAGCAGGGCAGGACAAAGAGCAACAGGAGAAACTGAAGCCTCCACAAGCACACTCATACCACAACTGTGATGGATTTTGCCAGGACTGGGAAGGAAATGCTCTGAACTATTAAAGCAAATAAAATGACAGAAGGAATAATAAAAAAAAACCCCAACAGCCAAGAATGATTCCCCTCACAGTGTAAAAATGCAACTCTCATATTTATTATCATCTGTTCTGATCAAATGGAAGCTTGGATTTTTACACTCTAGGCTTAAAGTAGATACTGAACCTCGAGTGCTTTAGCCCTCACAGTGTTAAACACCTTATTCAATGGCTTGCCTGAGAGCATGTGTCTGCAAAGCTCCATTTCCTGGGAAGAATCTTCTGCCTGCTCGCACAAGAGACAAAGGCTGCTGCATAGCCACTCCACCACCGCAGGGGTGTCTGAATTGCTGAGAAGACACAACAAAAGCACATTCAGCTTCTTTCCTTCCCTATTCTCGTGGTATTTGTTTCCTCTTCAATTGACATTCATTCGGAAGCAGGAAAGGGCAAAGATGCCTCCGCAGCTGGCTCTGTGTCGGGTAGTTATTTTTTAAAGTTGTGCCAAGTGAAGGCTTGATTTTCTTTACAAAAATATTCCAGAGCAAACATGTCCCCAGGAAGAGAACTGACCTTGAAATGTGGTCCTTATTTCTGCCATAAAAGTATTTCCATAGAGACCTCTGTTAGGATAAAGCTCCGATAGACAGATCTTTAGATTTAGGTACCTAATTCAGGAGTTGAACACCTGAATACCTTTAGAAGTCTTGATCTTACTCTACCCTATGTGTCACTTGGAAGGCTGTTTTTCATGTCAGCTTTTTGACTTTTTTGAGGCTCACACAATCAAAGCAAGCACTGAACAGTTTCTTTTCCTGCAGTATCATCAACCAAAAAGCAAAGCACAGCAGGGAATTCGGCAATATCTTTAACTACTGCATACACCATAAGAAAATCATCCCAATCTATCTTTAGGGTTTGCTTGTACATATTATGTAATTATTATATGGTCTATCCGTTGATTTTGTATATTACATTATACAATACAATATTACATGTGATAACACTATGACAACGTTTGTAAATTGGTGTGCAAAGTGCTGGGCATGACTGCTACAGAAAGAGAACATGTCAGTTCTCAAGATAATGAAGGCTTTGCAATATGACTCTTAACACTAACACTCCTATGGTGAAAAAAATCAATTGGAAAAGACAACCATTCTAGTACATTTTAACTTCTAATTTCAATCCATTAAGTTTTCTGTTCCAGATCAATTTATAGCATGAGCTAATTATTCTCTGGGGCAATGCTCTGCCCAAGCTTGCTGTGATTCCTGGCCTTATTCAGAAGCGTCCAGCTCAATTTCAGCAGATGCCCACTCCAGGCCAACCTTCATTTTTAATGGCCACATATGAATTTCCACCATAAATCTTAATCCAAGGTACTAAAGGCTAATCCTACATTACGTTTTGAGAGATTAAACACATCTGTAACTGGGTATGCCTCCAATTACCTCTCCAGCAGCTCGCCCAAGTTTACAGTGTTCCCTCTGTGCAAGTGCCACACAACTTCCAACACTGGAGGGCTCTAAGAAAAAGAATGTCAGAGTCAGATCCCAGTAGGCAACATTTGCCATATCCAACTTTCTAGTGGCAATGCTAAGAGAAACTTCAGCCCCCTGTGTTAAATTCAGGACATGGACAAATCAACCAGAGATTATAATTGCAATGGTATTATGAAATCCTAGTTTAAAAATTAGTTACAACAGACATTCCTTCTTACCCAATTTTGGATTAAGAGCTTGATAAAATTAAAAAAAGGTAAAAAACCCCTTTATGATAACCAACAATCACTTCAGAGAAGAAATCTTTTTCTGCCTGTGATAACCCTGATTAGAGATCTTCTACAAGGGGAAGGGACACCTCCCAGCATTGATTCCACAGTCTTAGTCACCAAATGCAGCACAAGATAGTAAGAGCAGAAACCTGTAAGAGCCTCCTAGCTGTTCTGCTACCTTGTATAAAAGTCTCGTGCTTTCAAATTCAGTTCCTAACCAACAGATCATAGAAACAGACCCAACAGTTGGCACTGTTCATGGCTGTCTCAGTAAAGAGGCTTAGTACCACAGGGGACAGAGGAGAAAACAGCAGCTTGAAGCTCCTAATATTGAATGCAAGGTCAGTCATCAACAAAATCAGCACTGTTCAGGGGCTAGCTTTGAATGTGGCACTGACTCTGTCACTGAGACAGTTTAGGGCTTCCCTCAGCCCTCTCCTAGCGCAAGCAGTCCCCAAAGGTCCTCTGTATCACAAGCCAGGAGAGAGTCTAGGATGCAACAGAAAAGGAGAGGCAGCAAAATACCAGCTCCTTTTTCTTCCAGCATCATGGGCAAAAGAAATTTTATCCCAGAAAAAAAAAATCTGAGTGCATCCATATAAACTGCAAAGTGAGGAACAAGAGGTGCATGGTGTGCAGACATCCAGAGGGAAACACTGGCAATACCCTGGAGGAATGAAGAGAGCAGCTTCCTTCCCAACATGGTACCAGAATCCTGCATATTCTTTGCGAGCTCAGTCTCTACATAGACAATTACATATGCAATGCAACAGTGCAGGTGAACAAAGGCTTCTCTCGGGCAGTGGCTGGACCTACTCATCCACAGGACCATAAACTAGACTCTATCTTTTAGCCTTGGACTTTCATCTCTGACATGACCAGCTCACTCAGGCTCAGCTCAAAACCTCCTCTTCCTTCCTACCATGGCTATAAACGAAGCCCATTTTTAAAAACTCCTGAACTCCTTAGCTTTTCAACTCACCTTAGAACAAGTCACTCAAATACAAGCCCAAGGCACTGACGAGTTAATACAGCTGCCTGTTTACTACCATCAACACAATGTCCCCAAAGGGACAATATCCCCACATCAAAACTCACAGATGAACTCCTGAAGATGCAGCATCCAAGCAGAAATTTTGCCAGTAGTGCAATATACAGTCTTCCAGTTATAATAACTGCACTTCACAGATTATGCCACTGTAGTAAATCCAAAGCAAGCCTAATCTTCCACAAGCCCTGTGGCAGAATCACAGCCAGCAGACAGATTGTACATGGTGAACTGGTCACTCAATGGTAACTGCTTAGCTCATTTGGCAGACCTAAGCTGTGACTGCTGTGCAGAGCTGTCAGCATATTTCACTGATATGAGCAACCAGACATGGATGCACTCTTTGGGACAATGCAGATCACTAAGCATGAGAGAGATGAGGACAAAGTGCTGTGTCAAGAGATCCAGCTATGGAACACTCTTCCAGAGGTTAGGCAAACCCAGGAGCAATCATCCCTGGGAAATGGGGTACAGCCTTCCTCCTTCAGAAGGTCTTTCCTCCCCACACGTAACACACACAATTAAACACCCCTTTAGTCCCAAACTCCTACCAACCTCCATTTTCAGGAAAATGACCTTGAGAAGAGAGGCATACCACAGATTCAATGGAGTGCATGAGGGATTTCAATACTGCTATTGATTTTACAAGGAAGACTCTCAGATATTACAGTAATATGTAGCAGTATAAAGTCTTACGAGAAAAAGGCAGAACTTCCCTATCTGTATTGAAAGAGGTCATTGCAGAGAGGGACTGACATCTGCAGTGCTGTGTCCATGCTGTATGCACTCAGTGGAAAAATCTCCAGTGCTGTCAGTACTCATGAAAATGCTGATTGACATCCACACAAAAAAGCAAAGCTTACAATTACTGCCAGCCCTTTGATGCAAAAAGCTGAAGTCAGCCAGTACAGGTTCCCTTCTCAATGGCAGGACCTGAAAACTGTGTCTTAAAATATGGAAACTACATCACGTGGTAAATGTGATGCAAGAAGCTATTAAGTAATCAATAACGTACGACGAGGAGCATTTAGCTTTCCAAATATCAGCATGTCTCAGGGGCACTGCAAAGCAGACTGGAGAACAAACGCTTTCACACACCCAAGTACTCCCGGGCACGCTCAGGGGTGTAACATGCATGCTCAGGAATTTGTTATTGCATTTATTTATATACACACTTCCAAGAAACCTACTCAGGGTTCACCCTCCACCTGCAAAAGTGCTGACAGAATGCCTCTGGTTTCATTGCAAAGCAGAGCTGTGCTTAATTAACATGTTGCCTGTTTGTTTTGCTTTGTTTTGTTTGAAATGTTGGCTTCGCTCCACAACACCTCTGACCCAGCTGGATCACAGAGTTCTAATGGATTTTACTTTTAAAATATTAGTTTACATAACAGCAAAGCACCAACACATTTAAAACCAAAATGATGCTTTTATGGCTTCACAAAGGTCATGGCAATCCCCAGGGAGAGCCCAAGATGCTGAGCATCCATCAGTAAGTAGGAGCAATAAGCTCCTGATTGTGCTGCGATATGCCATTAACAATACCAAGAGGAGGAAACAGATTATTGGATTTCTCCAGCCCCTTTTAAAGTTGCCCCTGGCTTTTACAGGATGCGTATCTAGAGAGTTTAAAGACACAGGACTGGATTCCACCCAAATAAACTAAATGCTGTGTTACAGCCTAATGGTCTGAAGGACTGACCATCATCTGCTAGACTCACCTGCATTTTCCACATTTCCTGACAAAAGAGTGAGCAGCAGAAAGCACTGTGCACCGATAAATCCTTGATTGTTTCAAGCAACGAGGACAGCTTCTTCTGGAATTGCCCCAGAAAGAAAGCAGAAAAAGTGCCCTTAGTAAATAACACAACATTGGAGCAGTTTCCTCTTGTTCCTTATTTGTTAAATCACAAGTGACTGAATGGCTCAAGAGCCAAGTGAAGAGACACTGAGCCTTTCACTTTTATGTTATGAGTTCAAATCCAACCCAGATTGATAATGACCAAATCAGTGCCATCCAATGGCTACTCTGTGGGCTAGGCAACACGATCCGATGATCTCTAGCGGACATTGCATTTAGCTCAAATTGCAAGCCATGGGGTTAAAGGTTAAACAACTCGCAACAAAAGGGTGAATGTTCCTGGAGGGCTGAGATGCTCTGAAGAGGGCAGTCTCACATCATACTATTTCTGTGGGGAAACAGGAGGTCAGTTCCAGGCTGCTGATTTTGCAGCTTTCAGTTTGGAAAATCCTGCATTTTTTAAGGACAAGTTAAAACAAAGATGTGAACACACAGCTGATTGGTTCCGTTTTCCTCCTATCCTCAGAGGCATGTACTGAGGACAGACTGGTTGGGTTTAAAGAAAGCACAAACCCCAAAATAATTCTTGGCAATAACCTTTTTGCTACCAACCTTCAATCTCCCCTTACCCTTTGTTCCCCATTCAACAGCACAGTTTGCCCAGACTCCAACGAAGCCTGAGAGATCTGCTCAACGTTGGCAACAGCAGTTTTGGCTGACAAGATTCCCAGCGGTACGCTCAGGCGTGAGGCCTGCTCCTGTAAAGCAGACACTGGAAAGCAAAGTAGGATCATTACTGAAAGAAGCGCAGTTTGAGCACAAGACCAGGAACGCTGAGTTTTAACCCTAGCTCTTCCCTGCCCTTCGGCTTCCCTGCCTCATTTTCTCTCACCCACGAAATACAGGTAACACCACCTACCCCGGAGGGGTGTTGCAGCAATTGTTTATTATAAAGTGCTTTGAAGAAGAGCTCTTGCTAAGGGACTGCAGCACAAGATTCCCAAGGTTCCCCATTTGGGACTTTAATAAACATTTTTAACGCCGCCTTGTGTGTGTGGAATCTTAAGTCAAAAGTGAGGCACTGTGCAAAAGGCTCCCTACAAGTTCCACAGTGCTGGGGCTTCTCTCCCTTCCTCTGGAAGACTACTTAATATGTAACGTGAGTCTCACTAAGCAGATTGTTAAGGTCATCTTGCTACGCTGCTAAGGTAGGCTGACGACGCGCTGAGGGAAGTGACTGACTGCAACTGTGTGTTCTCACACGCCTCATATACTTGTAAACACAGACTTACTACAATGGCAAGCAAGTGGCTTACTGCTGCCCTCACTTAGAGAAGAAATCACAGTGCTTTACATGCCTACAACTGTGCATCTGTTTCAGAGAAGAATAAACAAGCAGAGTGACATTAGCTCAGAGCAGGAAGTTAAAGGCACCTGGTAGGCAGAAATTCAATGAGACAGGCAAATTACATTTCCCCCCTTTCTCTCTGACGGACATTTTCTGACTTACCTACAAATGGTTCTGAAACCACACGTGGAGGCTCTGTACTGCTCTGCTCCGTTGATTTATTGGAATTTTCCACCTAAAACGAAACAAAAAATAATGATCAGAAATACCGGTTGCACAAATATGTCGCCTTTGTCGATACCTACCACCTGTACCACAGCACTATGTATGTACTTGACATAATTTAAATAAAGCTTAATAGTCATGTAAAGTAGCTCTTATACAGCACAGTTTATCGACAGATCTTAAAGCACTTTTTAAAGGAAGTAAATACTGCGATGCCCACTTTAAAGGGATGGGGAAACTAAGGCACAGATCAATTAAACATCTTTGAGCAGGCCGGTGGCAGTGCCAGGAAGAGACTCCACCTCGTCCAACTCCCAGCAAAACCTTCCTCCCGCTAGGCACACTTGTGAAAACTGACCGAAACGTTAGAAACTGACAAGGAATCTGGGTCTCTTTTAACGGCCGATTCCTCCAAAGTTCTCCTTTGGTGGAAAACAGCCCAGAAAGCTCCGGATCTCCCTACGCAGGGCCTCAAGGGCAAACGTTTTCTCCAGCCGGGTAAGGCAAGATGATATACAGGAAGTCAGCAACTTTGCAGGCTGTCTGCACGTATAACGTATCTCACACACGTCTAGAGAGACACGACAAGCGGCAATTCAGAGACAGCCGACGACTCCAACGGCTGGCCTCTATGCACGATAGACGCAGCCAACTGCGATCCCAACGAAGATGGTGGTATCTCGCCAACGTACGTGAATTAGCCCCCGGATTTTTCTTTTCCACGTGTATTAATGCCGTTTACCTTGCTTTGTTTGGGAGCGACGCTTAAAAAAATTAACAAATGAAGAACTTGTGTAGGGACCGCGCTCCAGGCGGCTCGACAGAAATAAGATAGGAGCAGCGAGTCCAAACTCGCGTCTCCCTCCCTTACCTCCAGGAAAAGGTCGCTCAAGTTCTGATGGCAGCTCAGGAGGCGAACCGCGGCGTCCTGCAGCCCGGGCCCACGCTCGGGCACGCATCGCCGCCTCTTGGCTCTCCCTGCTAAGAGGTCAGTTTTAAAAATCAAGGGTAACTCAGCAAACTCGGGCCGTTTTGCGCGTATCACTCAGGCCCTTTGCCTGTCGTGTGCATATTTCAGGGAAGAACACGCGTGTACGCAGACTGACACGGGCTGGGAACAGGAAATTAACAGCGCGCAGCAGGCAGGAGGGCCAGGTCAATGCCCCGCTTGCAGGCAGGCGTGTTCTCACCCACCTGCACACGAGTGTGAGACACCTGCAAGTGTCAGGAGCGGTTTTGTGGCCCCCTGTGAAGCGCTTTGGTGCATTTCTACAACCCTTGCAGCTACCACCGCTCTGCCTGCGGCCGGGCAGGAGAGGGGAGCGTGTCACACCGCCTGTCTGTGTCAGGGCGAGCCTTAGGGCTGTAGGGTTAGGCCAGGCGAGGGCCGGGGCAGGGACGATCCTGCCTCGGGTGGGCCCGCGCGATGTGCCCAAAGGTCTTTGTCATTATCATTGCTATTATCATTGTTACCATTCACAGTGCGCACCAGCTCCCCCTCCCCACGCCACCTACCCAGCAGCTCGGCCAGAGCCCCGCAACCCCGCCGCCCGCCCGCGCCCCGCAG